TGTGTGTGTGTGTGTGTGTGTGTGTGTGTGTGTGTGTGTGTGTGTGTTGGATTAGGGAGTTATTTCAAGGAATCCTTGATTCCATCTGGATCCTTACATGGCCTATGGACTGAAAAAATAATATGCCTTACAACTTACAGTATATGCTCTATTAGATTCCTCTGTGATGAATAAAACAGAAATAATCCGCTTAAAGCCTGCCTTAAGTCTCTTGGAATTATGCGTTTTTCCTTTATTTGGACCTCAGGGGCATGCATTTTAATTGATCCGAGTCTTTGATTCATGACCTCTTGTCATCATTAGCCCATATACGGCCCAACTTTATTTTATTTTAGTCTTTTCTTTTATGGAAGTTTGTATGTAGTAGCACATATAAGGAATCTGTTGCCCAGTCCAAAACTAGATCATTACCAATCACTTACAAATTGATCTATATACTCCTCCCTCAGAGGGAACATTCTTTTGAATGTTGTGTTTATCATTCCTTTGCTCTTAGTTTTTTCAGTTTTATCGCATGAATGTATGTCTAAACAATAGGTTGTTTCTACTTGTTTCTGAACTTCATCAGTCAATATGCATTTTCTCAATCAGTGGACACCTAAAAGGACATCTCTACCATGTGGGGACCTGAGAACCTATTCCCTGAGTCCGAGGGCATCCTAACAGCCTGCATGTCCCACCGCAGGGGCATGGTTAATGGGTGACGCGTCCCCACGGTGCTAGGCAGCACCACAGCAATGTGGTGGATGAATAATTAATGACACAGGGAGATGTTCACTCTGAATTACAACAGGAAGAAGCAGGTTACAAAACTGCAGACACAGGATCATTCCAGTTTTGTGGAAAAAAAGAAAAAACATGAGGCTCTATGGTTTGATACACTTCTGGCAGATGTAAACATTATAAAAAATTCCTGGGTTGTGGGATAATGAGTACTTATCGTCTTCTTTGGTTTTTAAAAATATTTTTTTCCGAATTAAATATACGTAATACGTATTCCACTTATAAACAGACGGATGATATTACAAGTCAAGCCGGGCAGAGCTCGTCTTTGGAGAGGCTGGGACTTCTCTGCGCTAGGCTCAGAGGTGGGGAGGACGCGTATCACCTGCCAGGGGTCACGGGGAAGGCGAGGGTCCATGCCACACACGGGGCAAAGAGGGAGGGCAGGGAGAAGGTGGTGGATTTGCTGATAAACAGGTGTTGCCTCTGAGAGCAAAGAGCTCTGGCGAGGGGAGGGTGGGAGCTCTCCTGAAATGGGGGGGCCTCCGTTTTTTGCCCGATGGCTGCTTGGCATGCTGGTGTAGCCACGGTCTCTCTTTCAACCTTCACAGTAAGCCTCTGAGGTCGACTTTGACCACTTTTTAACAGATGAGGAAACTGAGGCTCAGATGTTA